TTAAGTAAGTTCATCGTACACTAACTTGAGTTTATGATCAACAAACTCTGTTTTTAATCGCACTCATCTAAGCAAATGAAATGGCAGTCCTTTTTACCAAATTGAATGCAGTATTTTTGCTATTTATATAATAGATGTGACACACAGCAATAGCCATTGTCACCAGTGATACTAGCTATTCAAATTGCGAGCTTACAAAACACGTTTGTCACGTTTACTGTGGGCATTGTAAAGTGTAAATATATAACCTAAGTGTACCTAAAAATGAATTGTTTTCAAAAAAAAATTAGTTTGACACAACTGAAAACATGAATTACTGACCCCTTCCCCCCCGCACGCTCTCTATTTTAAATCTATTTTTTTTAAAAATTCCAAATGCTCAAACGGTAGATGTACTCAGATCTTTTAATGTCTTCGGTCAGAAGAGGTCCAGCAGCAATATTTTTATATGTTTTTTATTCTTTCTCATTTGTTTTCATGCTTTTCTCTTCTTGTTCATAATTTTCATTTTAGTTTTCTTTTATGAGGGGAACTTGTGACGATTTTCGACGCTTCAATTAATTTAATTACCCTCTATAGTATCACATCTGAATTAAATGGAATACTTTTACTTATGGTAAAACTAGGGACGATGTATGATTTCTCGTCAACTTTCAACAAGCGTTACTACAATGAGCTATTTAGAGATTTAAAAAAGATTCATCCATAGGCAATAGAAGAGACAGCGGCAAAGATAAGAAAATCAATCCATTATCTCTCATTTATTTTAATATTTATTTTAGTTTAAGACTTTTGTTTGAATACTATGCTCATCAAAACTCATGAAAGTATATAGGCTTTTTTTGGTGCTTGGTATCAGGCGTTTTTTAATAAAATGCTTTGTATATTGCTCAAGTAACTGATTGTATATTGAAGTAGTTGATTTCACCATTATCAGAGATTTCTCGCAAATGTTACAAGTGGTGCGTCATTGTTTACCATTTTAAAATAACTTTAATAAAATGTGGTCACCAGAAGCATTTGCTTCACAAAAACAGTTGTTGTCGTCACTAGTTACTGAGGAAACACCACTTTCCTTTTAGCAGTCGTTTCCAATGGTTTGTGAGGACAGGCCGACAGGTAGATGCACACCCATCGCAATCATAAATTCTGTGATTTATTTTATCAGCCTCTCTTTCAGGTTATTGAACAAAACAGAACAAAATCTTCCCAAAACGTTTTGACAAATGGTATTGCTGTGATCTTCTATATATGTCAAAGTTTTCTCCGTTGAAATAATGAAAATTCTGGCAGCTTCTCTTAGAGACATTTCATTTTGAAAAACTTTTATATTGCATCCCTTACGTTACTCTCATTACTTTGGTTTGTCTTTTAATCATGGCTCTGCTGAAACTAAACTAGACTTAAAATTTCAAATAAATCTTCTATTTTAGGGCAGTCAATAAGGAATGAAATAAAATGTTATCCATTGACCTTATGGTCACTCAAAATATGCAACATATAAACTGAAACCTGTAAGTTAAGGGACAGGAGAGACATGGCACATTTTCACCACTGCCTCACTTTCCTTAAGTTAATACGGTATTCGAAAACTAAAATATGAATGTTGTAGACGGCATTTTTAAATAAACGATTTTTCAATTGTTTCAAACAACATCCGAACAGCGTCTATGAAGTAAGTTTCCATTATTTCCCTTATCGTAAACAAAGCTTTTCAACGTGCCTTTTAACTCAAGAAATCTTTATTGAACACCCACATGCTGTCTGCGTTTGTAAACATATAAAAACTTTCAACTTTCACACATGACATAGGTCGTAAGAAGAAGCTTCCTGGTGGATGACAGATTCTTACGCTGTAGCTTTATTCAATGTGTCAATAGTAAATGCTGCAATTAGTCCAGAAACGTTTCGAAGTTGTCAATTTTTTATTTTGAGAGTGTAAGACAACTTCATAGAGCAGTTGTTAAATCTTTTCTCGAAAGGGAAACTTTTCTTAAAGATAATGTTGAAGGATTGTTCAGCGATGACAACATCCTTCATTCACTTTCACGGAGACATTTTAAATTTGTCATCTGTTTGTGGAGAGGCAATGACCTTTGCACTTTTAGTTTTGAATATAATTGCCATCGTTTCTTATGCGTTTTTTTAGTCGTTTCTGTTAATACTTGATCGGATTTTGAAAAAACGTTGCCGGCGATGCAAATTCCATTGCGCAGGATAGTCTTTTCTATAATTAAAATTTCTCGGATCTGGACATCAAATAGACCGAAAAAAATTCCTTCAAAGCTCTCATCCTTAAATGTCCAACGCAAAGACAATTTTTGATACATCGTGAAATATTTTACTTTTAAATTTGTAGAATGAAACGTTTTCCAGACCAGCTTCTGATATATGTGCACTTGTTATTCTCTCAGAAGAGTAACAGTTGTAGACAGCCTTAATTTTTATTTAAGACATTTACATATGAAAGCGTTTATATGTAAATCACTAACCATTTATTGCAATAAAATCTTCTACGTACACATTGCAACATATATTTATGAGCATGGACATGCCAATTCCCAATGCCCTAAACGAGCATGATAACGTTCGTCCAACGCTTAGCCTGCTGAGTCGTTTGTATCTTTCTTTTAAAATTCCTTAAATGTGGTCATTCGCTGATAAATTTTATTGGAAATTCATAAACAATGCCTTTAAATATATTATGAGCAGCTGTATATCCGTTTTGCTAATCTCGGATCCCTTACTGGTGAGAAATACTAAAAAAAGTAAGCAACTTAACGTCAACACCACTCTGAGTCATATCGTGAAAACTAAGTTTTTAACATCTCTTTTTTTATCAGTTCTTATGAAATTTAAAATCGAATTTATGAAGTATTTTCTGTCATACACAAACTTCACTGATTGCCTTATAAGATGCAAGATTTCTTTTTTCACTGCAAACAATAATTACTACTTGATTTTTAATAGAATGTGAAGATAGAAGTTTTATTTTCGACAAATGTGGAAGATTATGTGTATGCCGCTACGGACGGTTTCAAAGTTGTCAACGAGTAAGAAGGAGTTCACACGAATGTCAAAGCAGGAGCGTTTACGTTACCTACATGCTGTATACCAGATCTCCACTAATCTATCTTACAAGGAGAGATACGAAGCTCTTCTTGACAAACACCGACAACATTTTAATGACAAAATACACAAGGTGACATATTTCCTTCCTTGGCATCGATGGTTTCTTCTCCAATATGAGAATCTTCTGCAAGAGGTAAACAGTTATTTATTATTTACACTTATAAAATAAACACAATAAAACGCGTGCGGTGACTGGTCTAGAGCCGTGTTTGCATTAGCCTGTGCAAAACACATCTAAGCTCGACCAATCAAATCAATCAAAACAATCAATCATTCAAAGATAATTTGCAAATCAATCATGAATATATTTTGGAGGAAAAATTGAAATGTTTGTTTTGTCGCATTATTGTTATTTTATCAAAGAAATAAAAGATGTTTTTCGTGTCTGCACTGGCTTATGCAAACCTCGGAGACGTTTGAGAGAACTTTCGACCATGTGCAACCCATCACCAAGAATGAGGAAAACAATGGCGGATAAGCAAGCCATTTTCAAAATGGCGTCTGCTTTTATCAGAAAAGAGTGGTTTCAAAATATACATGATAATTTGGAATATTACCAAGCTGCCACACTCGATAAATGTTGCAAAGCTGCCAGGCATTATAAACTGCCTTATTGATGAAATAAAACTAAGTGTGCATACTTCCCCCGATATGTGACGAGAACGTTGATTTGTAGCCAGTGTTTCTATTGCGATTACATATAAGTATGCTGAAAATGGTTTACGAAATGGGGCAAATAATTCATCACCTAGTCGTCATATCCCAAGAACCACACTTTTAAATTATAGTCCGTTATTGATTGTACTAAAATTGTGGGTTCAATAGTTGATTTAACCGTGATAAAATACTTCCAAAGGCTCTCAAATTAGGAACTGCACAAGTCGCTTTCCCGTTGTCTTTTTGCCTTATGTACGTCTTTCTTAAGCACTTGATCGGGTGATACTGCACATGACAAACCGAACCGGATGTTTAAGATCTGTTACGACTAACTGTTGCGCCGTGGAACGAAAATCATATACCATGCAGTTTATGTTGTTTTGTTACGTAAGATTAACACATTTTTCCATATTTATAAATAAATTCAAAGACTGTACTCGGCAGCTTAACGAATGGAGGAATAAGTACAGTAATTTAGCAGACGAGAAAAAACAATTGCATGAAGATATAAAGAAGGAAATTAATAGTTTAGAAAAGGAAATTACTGATTTAAAGGAGTCGAACAGGACTCTGAAAGATTATGTCGAAATTTTAAAACGTAACGAAACTGTAAACTGTCAAGGAAACCTGTAATAAATTTGGGAGCTAAGCAAAGGGGGCGAAAGCTTCAACTGCTTAAAAACAGAGCCCAATGTGCACTTTGGTTCTGCAAGAGCTTTGGCTTGGACCTAACTAATATAAAATTGCAAGATGAAAGCGGTTGTAGTTACTCATAAAAGAAAAGAGTTCTTAAACAAAAGGTCTTTCAAAAATGAGAAAATGTGAACTCATACAACCAAAATTTATAGATAGTTGATAACTTACTCAACATGCACTTACACGTTTCTTCTTTGTAAGTATTATTTACAGAAGCTAAAACTCGTTGAAATGATTTTTTCGGTTCTGGTGATTAGTTCACATGTTTTTTATTTAAACAGCAGCAGATCCAGAGTTAAGGAAACTAAAATACTGTTATTATAATAAGGCAGTTAGTTGTGAATTTTAAAGCAACAAAAACTCGCCAATAATGGGCGGTGACAATTTATTTTCCAAATGCAAGTAATTAAGCTGCCAAAACTACATTTGTATTACTATCAAACATTTGTTCATTATAAAAGGGTTGCCAATGGAGCATGCAAAGTTCCACAAAAATATATGTAATATCTCTACCATCATTTGAATACTGAAACTAAGTACACAATAAAGGAATCTTTATAAAAAAAAACAGAGATTTTCTCGAAACATGTTTGAGGCATTGCATTTATTTTAGTTCTATTCCTTTTGTGAGTTTTTGGGGATTTTCCCAAAAATTTTCTTATTTTCAGTTCAGTGAATATTTAATCTTTATTCCATCTCCATGACTGTCATAAAGACAACTCCAGTTCTCTGGGAACTTACATAGAAAGAAGTCCTTTTTCTCATAAAGAGTCCAATGTTTTTGCTGTGCTGGTTCACCAAAGCCATAAAAAAGATATTGGAAAACATCATGCCTGAAATCTATAGAAATTCTTTGCTCAGAGCCTTGACGTTTTTGAGCAATAAGAGCTGTCATTCTTAGCCTGTCGACACATGATTGTACAATTTCCATAGCTGTGTTAGGTTCTTTAAAATATCTAGAAATACAATAAATATAAGCTAGCTTTAAATTTTCTCCTACATTTTAAACAAGCTTTATATTTGCGAAGTACCTGAGTAAAGTTGACGAAAGGTGCTCTTCTGGCTCCCATGTATTTTCGTAAAAGCTGTAATCCTTCCCCTTAATAAGATATTCGACTTCCAAGAATGTTTTCAAGGCATTTGTGTTTAAGAATTTCAATTTTTTGAAGCATTATTTATTGCAAATGGGGCAGTAAGAAACTGAGAGGCTATATTTTGTATTTACCTCTCCACCTTTTCTTTCGGCAACCACCAGCTCAGCTTCAATTAGCCCAAGAGTTTTTCTTTTCTTTCTTCTCTTTTTGCTTTCGTCGTAAAGCAAATATACACTACTCAAATTGTTTAGCAAACTGAATGGCACACAGCCTGGAGAACGTAAATCTGCCGCCATTTTATTTTATGGATTATTAATTACTTAAAGGAGCAACCACTGAATGTGAGCGCAGTCGCAAAATGTCTTTCATTTCTGGTGATGCCTCGACCTTCGGTCTCGGGCTTACACTGGTCTGCTCTCGAGTTCTCCCAAAGGTCTCCTCGTTTTGCTTAAGCCCATTTTTGTTTCTTCAATATTTAAACCGGTAGTATCTCAACCTAGATCCTAAAATATAACTAAATATAAAAGACAAAGAAGTTGATTTTCAGATAGCCGTGTGAAAAAAATTGAAAAGGACACTACATATAGGTTTAAAAAATTATAAGCTATATAAATAAGCTAAAAATAAAATAGCTTCTGCACATCTATACGCAAAGTTACGTTTTAAAGCAGTTTTTTTTGTTTAGGCAAGTTGCGAACGCGTTTGTTTTCACACATAAAATACTTGGAATTGTTTGTTACATCTCGACCGTTATTACAAAATGAAGAGGATAATTTTCTATTCAAAAACATGAAAATATTTTGTACAAACAAAAAAACTAGTGCAGTTTCTTCATTTAAAATTTGCATCAAATTTGCATCTTTCCAATAGTAGTCTATTATGAAAGTATATACTATTTCAATGAAATTCTGTCAAATCATTCATTTTTAATAGCTTGAATTTTGAATTTCGACAATTCCATCGTCAACGCTTCAATGCTGACTCAAGCAGTACATAATGTTCAACTTTTTCCAGTATAATACAATATTAAAGCAGAATAACTGATAAATTTGTCATGTGTTCCAATTAATGGTGTTTTTCTTGGTGTTATCGAGTAAGACTAAAATATTTTTCTGTGAACTACACCACACACTTGAGACAAAGTGTATTTGATTCCCAGGACAGAGTTGCCACTCAATATTGCAAATGTAAGATGATCGTAGCGCAGCTGTTAGGGACCATAGATACGACGCAAATATCTTGTTTCAATAAGTCATACCAAATGTGTTGGCAAGAAGCTTCAATGAATAAACAGAAAATTAGCCAACCTAATCAACCAAAGTTGGAGATGAAAGAAAAACAAGAAGCCGAAATTGTTTTATATATCCCAAAGTATTATGATCTTCGTTTAAGACTAGCCTGCTATTAGCATAAACAATAACGTGAAATGACCAAAGATCGTGTCATCTTCATGTCTCAAGTCTTTTTGTGGTATAGCAAAACATTTTTCTTAATAAGATCTTTATTCCAGTTACATAATTTATGTGGCAAAATACGTCGATTGTTTTGTGATATGTACACTTGAAAAAATGCAGAAAGTATTTTGATTTCTTACATAATCATAATAGGTCGATTGTCGAGTAACAGTGCCCTTTTGGGACTGGTCAATGGTGTCTGCCGATCCCTTCAACAGCGATTTTTGGAATAAAACATACGGATTTGCAGGAAACGGTATTAAAGTACCCCCGTGCGTTGAAGCAGGATTGTTTGGTACGGTAAACAATTGGAAAACACCAGATGGAGGATGTTTGCAACGAAATTTTATTACTGATAGTGGAGTGATTCCAGATGTGGTAGCTGTTTCTCAAACACTAGCGAGAAATGAAACGGAGTTTTTAGACTTTGAATTGATGCTTCGCGTGAACTTGCATGACGTGGTGCATTTTGCTATTGGTGGTACGATGATCGGTATTTATTCTGCTGTAGCACCTGAATTCTTTCCCATTCATGCATTTGTGGATAAGATATGGGACGAATGGCAACGAAAAGGAGACAAATATCGTATTCAGCAGCTTTTTACAACGCAGAAAACTTTAATGCCAGGTACAAATTATTCCAGTGCACAATTTCTGGACAGCAGTATGATGCCTGGCATGGTGCGTGTCAAGTATTTACAACCTAATCTTGATATTTGGAACAAACGTATTAAAGACTTGAAAGTACTTGCAGGTATTACATTTCACCTTTAAAATATTTAAGTAACAATTTCGAGAGTAAGAAGCATGCTTGCATATTTTTTCAAACTTATTGAAAACCAAGTTAAAAGTATATCTGCAATATTCATCATTAATCATTTCCTTTTAAGTTGTCGAAATCCAAAACAGTTTGAATTTCTAGACATTCCACAATTAAGCTTTTAATCCACAAAATAATTCGTGATTCTTTCCGTTGTAAATGCAGAAATATATAGAGCTTTTTTAGGAATTTTTACTTTATATTCTTTCTGTGTTTGCTCGAAAATTATGACAGTAAATTAGAAACAAATTTTTCATGTATTTTTTATGAAATATATCTCTTAAACATATAACATTAATATTCTAATGGTGCCATAAAAAATCATTTTACTAAATTTCCATTAAGTCAAATCACTCGTTTTCATTCTCAAGCGATTGCATTCACACGTATATTTAGAGAGCAATCCTCTTGGAATGCCAGATCTACCGCATTTGGCCATAGCAAACATCAACCCAAAAGCATTCGATACATTTAAAGTGACAGAGCAAGAGAGAGCCCGAGCAAAAAATCTAGAGCTGTGTTATTCGACAAACTATCCCGTCAATGTTTCCGAGCTACATGGAATGGAACGAAAAATGGGAATTCGAGCAGTCGACATTGAAAGTATGGTTCGAAAGAAATTGTTACATTAACTTAAGTGCGTTTCTAATGGCTTTATCTATCCAAGATTTGAGTTTTTGTGATACGTTAAAAACAATGCTTTTTTAGTACAGTCAGTATAAATCAGCTACAGATTGCAAGTATTGCCATTTGGGTAAAATCTGCATAGAATACAACTGAAAAGCTGATATATATATATAAAATAAAATAAAATCGACAGGTTTTCCTGTCGCTACTCACAGTTTCACGCCGTTGGGCAACTGACAGATTATATACTAGAAGTTACTGTCGCAAGGGAAGTGCTGCCCGCCCCTTCCCCTTTTCATCAACAAAATTGCATGGTACAGTCGCATCCTTTAGAAACACCTCTTTGTACTCAGCAATCTAGGTGGTTTCATACGTATGGTTATGATTAAATGATTTAAATGATAGGTAAAGAAATTCTATATGTGTGTTCCACTAACTTTTATCATTGCGATGGCTAGGTTTATTTCGTTATGTTTAGAGGTTTCTTTCTATCGAAAGGCCTGTTCACACGATCCGATTTGTCAGATCAGATTATTTCGGTAGTTTCTTCTTGAGACGGTCCGATATTTGTTCATATTCGTTTAGAAGTTTATAATCGTTTGAACAGCCATTTCTGTTATCTAGTACGTTTATCGATATGTTTTCGTATTTTCGTTCTTGTTTCCAAGTCCTTCAAATCTATGAAATTTGGTTAATACGCTTCCTTTGATGTTGTCGGATAAAAGCAGTGCAAGTTCTATTTCCATCCGATGTTTTAGATTAACGGATCCGACTGTCAGAGGCTAACTTTATTTTTATATGTGTTCACACGATCCGTTTTAATGATCCGACAAAATCGGATCCGGACAAATTAGATCGTGTGAGCAGATGCGTGTAAGCGTGTACGGGCCATTGCAAGCCCTGTTGACCTTATATGGAGGGAGTGCTAACAAAGGCACGCGTTCTGAAAGCCGATTGTTGACCTATGGCAAAATATTTCCCATGCTTTACATCTTATTTTATTTTACATTTTAAATAATTTTAAGATAAATTCATTACCGTTTCAAATGAAAACAAGATAAGATGTTTATATCTCGAGAAATATTTTTTTATGATGCTTCAAATAAAATCAAATCAAATTAAAAAATTGTTTAATATGAATACATCTTGCAGTTTTTACAACTGAATTACATGTATAATACACCATTATTATATATAGTTACAATAATACAGTTATTTACAAGCATTAAGATTAATAATAGTATTAAAGAAAGAATAAATGAAAGACATATTACATAAGCAGATCGAATGTACAACATATGGGCAACCTACAATTTAAGAGACATGTTCGTTTGCGAAATTTGGAATAAAAGAGTTTTTAAAACTATTTGTGCAATATTTAATTGCATAATATGTTTTATTTGTCCTTAGCATATTATAAATGCCATCAGTTCTTTGAGGTAATAAATTGTAAAGTTTGTGATTCTTATACGTCACTATATCATTAAAGAATCTCCTATTGAGAGATTCACGTCTGTCAAATAGGGTCGGAATATCAGCTATTGTTAATGCATCTTTATAATGTACTCCACGAAATATTATGTCCACGGGTCTCCTTTGTGTACGCTCTAAATCATCAGAAAGATATTTTGGCAGAGCAGAGTGAAATACTTGGCAAGAGTACTCAAGAATTGATCTTATTATAGCGAAGTAAAAACAAACAAGGTCTTTTTTTATCTACATCAGCCCGTTTCAACTGCTTAATGAAGTATAGACGTTTTGCTGCCTTTTTAGTAATAACATTTATGTGGTCGTTCCATTTTAAATCCTTACTTATTGTGAGTCCCAAAATTTTAATATTTTGAACTCTTTCAAAAGGTTGATCATCGATTAAGATTTCGTCAAACGTTGGAGTAGCTTTTCTGAAACATTTGATCATTTCTTTACATTTCTTTAAATTAAGAGTGAGTTTATTTTCTATTGACCACTTAGCAATGTGGTTGATTTCTTGTTGTAGATAAGTTTTCCGATCATATGAATTTAGTTCTGAAGTAGTGGTGTCATCTGCAAATTTCCATATTAGTAATTCTGTTTTTCCAGATATTTCTAAGTAGTTGACCATGGCTAAATATAGCCATGGTCCTAGACAGATTCCTTGAGGCACTCCTGCAGGGACGTTTTTTCAATCAGACACACACTGATTGAGTTTTACTCTTTGTTTCCTGTCTCTAAGATAATCAATAAGCCGGTTGATGGTTAAAGGTTTAATCCCAAGACTTCAAAGCTTGGCAATTAGGAGATTATAATCGATCATATCAAATGCTATTTTAAAGTCTAGGAAAACATCTCAAACTGCGACAGTTTTTCCGTCAGTCATTCGTAGCCAATGATGAATCATCGATATGAGAGCATGGATAGTTGATGATTTAGGTATAAAACCATATTGATGCTTATCGATGCATCTTAACATGACTGGTTTTATATCTTTTTCAATAACAAATTCTTCTGCAATTTTGGATAGAGTGGAAGTAAGTGATATCGGTCTCAAATCCTGTGTAAAATCTTTGACAATTGATGTTTTGGGCAGTGGGACGACATCGGCAATTTCCCACATCCTAGGAACTTGACGGTTTCGGAAAGACACATTTAAATTAGTGTGATTGGTAACGTGAGAATATCTGCATAG